TATAGATAATGTGAGCCTTTTGTGAAATACAGTCACAAGTATTGTTTAGATCTTTATACAGCCCTCAGTGCATCACACACAAGTCATCATTGTTTAAGCAAAAGATAAACTTCTCTGGCAGGGAAAAGAGATCCGTAAATGAAAAAAGGTCCTTTTGGGCTTTCTGGCTAATCCTGATCAGAAAGTGTTAAAGCTTCACTGGAGAAAACAACTAACCAGACAAGAGGAGATGGACAGGCTGAACATATACTGGGAAACCACGTAGCCACACCTCACCCACCTCCACTAAAACAGAGGGGAGCCAAGGGCAGCCACTTAAGAGAGCTCTTATTTAGTATGTGAAAAAAAAAAATGCACTTATCCATCTATGTACATATACACACATTTTATATGTGTGTATTCCTACTCTAGGGCAACTATATTAGTACACTAGTGCCCATAACCTCCTTATTTAAGTGCTAACTCAGCCTACTACATAAGGCCTCCATAAATTTTAGAGATAACACCTTGACAGGACAAAGGAAGGCCAAATAAGGCTCATGATTAAGGGTTTTAGGGCCTGAAATAGCCAATCAGGTTGTAATTAACTACAGAAGGGGAGAGTCTTTCAGTCACACTAATAAAAAGGGCCAAAAATAAAGGGCCCTTGGATTCTCCATCTTTCCAGAACACCCTGCTCTTCATCAGGGTAGCTGTCTACTGCTTTTTCCTCCTTTCTAATAAAGTATTTAATAAAATGTCTTCCTTTCCTTAAACATTATATTTCTAATTTTTTACTGATACGGAGTTTATGAATCTTGGAGCTGCTTGCTTGCAGTGGACATTGGCAGCCATGTTTGTCCACAATTGTGACATTTTTTCTTATAGCCTAATGAGGTACAATTCCCATGGCATACAATTTTCCCATTTCCTGTTGTCTTTGTTTTTTGACGGCTGGGAATGGAACCCAGAGCCTTGTGCATGCCAGGCAAATGCCCTACCACTGAGCTCCATTCCTGGCCTTATTTTTAAAACCATTTCCTGTGCTGTTTTTAATGTGTTTTTCAGATATCCATTGCTTCCTTTTTTAAGCAGTTGACAGAAATAAGTGGGTTGAGATGTACAAAAGCAGGACATTCCAGGGTTAGAGGATAGGTAAAAGAAGGCCTTAAGGTGGAAATGAGACCATCGCTCTGGATAAAGGGGAAAAAACAAATAAGGCCAGTATCTTAATGATAAACTATAAAACAGATGTTAAGAAAGGTAAGTTTGTGTCTCCTCGGACCACTTGGGTAACTGAGGCCTTTTTTGTGAAAACAAAAGTAAGGAGTATGGGAAACAGCACATAACCTTGGAGAAGTAGGGAAATACTTGATGTTTAAGCTACAGTGGCCTCTTGTGTTTTGCTCAGCTTCACCTTAGTGCCTTGATGCAGGAGTCTGTTTCTCTCTGCTGCTTCATTGAACTGTGCTATGTGACTGCTTTCTTGTGCCATCATAACCCCTTCTTGGCCACTGCGTACCCCCTTGAGCAGTGTTGTAGGGTCTTCTGCCCTGACCTCGCTGCCAGCCCCTCTAGTGTTTTTTTTTTTACCTCACAGAGAATAAAATTCAGTTGCCCGTGGAGGCTTCCAAGGTTCTGCAGAACCTGGTCTTGCTCCCTGTGGACTTAGTTCCCACCCCTTTCCTCCTGTGCTCATGGTGTCCCTGCCACACTAAGCTGCTGTTCTGTCACCCCTGGTGTGCTCCTATTCCAGAACTGAAGGACCTGTGCTCCTCTCAACCTAGAATTCACTTTCCCAGGTCCTGATTTGTTTCCCTTCTTCATTGAAACTCATTAAACTGTCCCCTCCTCAGAGAAACTTTCTTGAGCAGCTGTTATGTTACTCCTGCCTCTCCAGTTGTTTTTCTCCATCAGACTTCTGTGTTACAGGGCACTGTAGTTTGCATTCCTTTTGCATTTGATGTTGTGTTGCTCCCTCCCTGGAGTGTAAAGTTTAAGTCAGATATAGTATATTCTATAACTGCAGTGTCCTTGGTTCCTAGGGTGTTGCCTTTACAGTTAATCCTATTGAATGTGCATTAGCATACTGTATAACTCACGGTCTTCCCCAGAGGAGGGCTTTGTCATGTTGTCCAGTAGGAAATGCATTCTTGGATGAGACACAAGTGAACTAGCCCACCACTGTCTTGGTAGCTTGTTAAATCAGGTCTCCATCCTTGCTCCATCCAACCAGTAGTAGCCCAGTAAGATCATGTGGTCTTTTTCTCTTGCTATCCTGTTCTTTCCATTTGATGGCTGGCCTCTCTACAGTTTTTAAGTTTCAATTCCTAGTTCATGAAGAAGGGAAGGTTTTTTTTTTTTTTTTTGCCAGATTCTATAGTGTGTAACACTTGCTTCCAGTTTTGAGCAGAGCATCTAAAGGAGGGATAAGTAGGATTTTGGCTTTCTTGATCTTAAGTCCTCTTGTGATACTGACTCCTCTGTGCTTTCTCTTCCTGTTTGTTCCTTTGTGGTTCTTGACTATACTGTCCTTTCTCCTGTTTTCCCTTCTTGCCCTTTTTTTCTGTCTTCTGTTCTCTGTCAGCTGCCATTTTGAATGAGCTTCTCATTCCAGAGCTTGCTTAGCTTGAGTTTTCTTGTCTCTGAGAAGCCTTTCTGTTCACCCACTTTGTGTAATCTTTTCTCTCCTTGGTTCCATACTGCTGGAGAGGAGTACCAAAGAAAACTGCACTGAACGTTTTTGCAGCTTACTTCATCTTTTATTATCTTTTTTGACTTGTTTTGTAAAATTTAATTAATATCTGAAAACCTGTTTTATGTAAGGCAGTATGTCACTAAACAAAAACCAGACTTTGACATTATACTTGGGGAGACGAATTGGGTATAGCATTCAAATGTTTATTGAGACTGGGATATACTGGTGAATAAAAACAAAATTCTTATTCTTATGAACCTAACATTTTGCTAAGAGAGATATACATTAGATAACTATATAAATGAATGTTAACTATAGCGATATTGAATATTATACAGGAGAGCTCCATTGTGTTCAAATAAACTTAGGGTTTTAGTGTCAAGAGAGCCAGGGACAGCTTCTCTGAGGAAACAAAGGCTGAACTGAGATGCGCAAGCACAGTAAGAATTAACTAGGTGCTGGCCAAGGAGAGGGGATGCAAATGCCAGCATCTGATGGTGAGAGGGTGCTTGGGGACCTAAGGAAGGGTAAGCAAGGAGGGCAGAGTAGAGTGGGGCCAGACAAAGCTGGGGTAGACTAGAGTTGGGTTTTGCAGGGCTTTGTGAGGCATACTGGTTCTTAATCTAAACAACATGGTAACTGTGAAGTGCTTATAAGTAGAGGAAAAAGAAGGTATAAAAAGTATTTTTATTTTTGAACACTGGTCTGAATGCTGTGGATAATAAATGGAGTTGATATAGATGTAAAAGCATAAGATGTAAGGCATAAGAACTGAGGAATGCTAGTTAAGAGGCTGCAGTGACAGCCTAAGAGCAAGTTGAGGTAAGGGGCTCTACCTTCATTTCCTATTAACCACATCTTTTTTAAGACAGAGTCTCATTATGTAGCCCAGGTTGGCCTCAAAGTCACAGTGATCCTCTTACCTCACCTTCCCATGTCCTAGGCTTATAAGCATGCGCCACCACACCTGGCCAAATGCATTTATTTATCCAGAAAATAATTTTTGGAAGTTGATTCACCATAATAGGCACACATGTGATAAATAAGTCCTATGAGAAATAAAAGCTGGTTTGCAGGAGTATAAACAGAATTATACCAGGAAAACAAGAATAAATATAATGACCACAGTCTAGAACAAAACCTAGCTCTGAGTTCCTGGCAGTGTAGACATAGAAGCAATAAGATAGGTCATGTGATTTTTTTTTTTTTTTTTTTTTTTTAATCTTAGGGAAGGGTCTACAGGGTTTCAGGGTCTCACTACTAGATCAGACTCCTAGTGATCTGCCTGTTTACAGCCTCCGAAGTGCGGGATTACAGGCACGTGCCACCACACCTAGTCTCACTTGCCCGTTTCAGTGCTCCCCTCCCCACCCGGGACAGGGCCGGCACGGCAGGCCTGGGGATTGAACCTCCAGCCCCTCGCCTACTTGTAGGCAGTTTAATCTGCTGAGCTGTTTGGCCGGCCCTCATGTGATTGTTTAGAAAAAGGAAGCATAGTTTATAATCTTTTCTTTGCTGCAGGAATGGATATTAAGTAGCCTGGAGATCCAGTTTGTTGAAACCCAAGACCTCAGCTCTTGAGATCATGGCATTAATCTACATTTAGTAGCAAGTCACATGGAGGTTTTTGGTTTTCTTTTTTTAGTTGTTTGGTTGGTTTTTTTGAGACAAGCTCTCATTGTGTAGTTCAAGTTGGCCTTGAACTTGTGGGGATCCTCTTGCCTCAGTCTCCTGAGTGCTAGGATTACAAGTGTGTGCTACTACTTCCAGCTTCGTATTGGTTTTTTTTTTTTTTTTTTTTTTGTTTGTTTGTTTTTTTGCAGAGCCAGGGATTGAGCTCAGGCCCGTGTGCTTGCCAGGCAAGTGCTTATTCAACTGAGCTATTTCCCCAGCCCCTGTATTGGTATTTTTAAAACATAAAAATTTGAGAAAAAATATGGAGCTGAGCTATATAAATGCATTTTACCCTTTGTTGCCTCTAGAGGGCTAGCAAGGAATTAGAAGGAAAGCACAGAATAGTAGAGAGGCTAAGAATTACAGGTAAGAGGCCCATGGTACCTTCATACAGTTTTTGAAGACCTTCCCTTTTGCCATCCCAGATACTTTGCCTTGCCTGCCTCTGCATTAGCTACTTGTGTTGTGGAGGTCATCCTTTCCGCCCTAGAAGATTCATTAGTCAGGGAATGGAGGGGACATCTTTACTTCTTAGCTGTTCATATTCCCACCCCTAAAGTGCACTTACAGAATCCATAACTTCAGAAGTGAAATCATTTTACACTACAAGTAGTCACCCAGGGTTTCCTTGACTCTTCTGTGTGTTCTCTGCTGCTGGGCTTCAGCCTCCTTGTGTCCCTATCCCAGCTGTGTGCTCTGCCTGCAGCATCCGCAGTGCTGCTCACTCTCCACACACAATGTCAAGCCCAGAGGCACAGTAGGGTCCCAGGAGAGCCAGAGAAAGTAGTAGAATATACAGTAGGAGGTCAGAGAAGTCCAGATTGGTGGCATCCAACACTTCTGCTCTTGAGATAGTGGCATTAATCCATTCTTGGTAGTAGGTCACATTGGTGTAGACCCCAGGAAAATGTTTACCACATTTTAATCCCCAGCTTACTATTCCTAACTGGATCCACACACCATCAATATGACATGATAAAGGTCCCCCGGAGTCACCCTGAAGAAGAGATAAAGGTCATGAGTATAGTGGAAAAGGGAGTGAGGAAAGAACAGCCCCAGGGGATCGCGTTTAGAACAGAGCCCTAAGACTCATGGGGCTGCAGAACACTGCTGAGCTGGACTTTCCACTGCTTTAAGGAGAAAGTGTGGGGATTCTAGATGCAGAGAATTTGAAATTGGTAGGGACCTTAGCAAAACACTTTGCTAACTTCAGAATATCCATCTGATACAAGACATAACATAATGTGATAACTTCTTCACTCATCAGGCTTTTCCTTTACAAAGTTAAATTTGTCCAGTTGAATGAGCTGCCATTATTTTCTTGTTCTTCAGTTCATTTTTTTCTGTTAAAATAATTATTTCTTACATAAAGTGATAGTAATAGTAGTTAGCGTATCTCAATCTTGCTCTTTTATAGTAACATTTTTACTATAACTTAGATATCATACAATGAACCATCTAAAGTGCACAGGTTTTTGGTATATTTGCAAGATTGTGCAACCAATATTACTCTATTTTTTGTGTTTCTCT